TTCTCTCTCTCTCTCTCTCTCTCTCTCTCTCTCTCTCTTTCTTAAAAAAAAATCCTTAGATTCTTACATATGCACCAGATACAACCACATGTTCTTATCAACTCAAATTAAACTCTGTGACCATCAGTTTTTTTCTGGCTGTTAATTTTTCTGATTATTTATATATAATTTAAATTAGCTTGTCCCTGCAAGATAATTTTGTTTTGTATTTTAGTTTTGTATAGTTTTCTTTTTTGTTATTGTTAATTCTTCTTAGGTGAAAAAATGCTTCTTGGTTCCCATCTTGCTCAGAAGTTTCAGTGTTGTCTGTTGGGTCAGGCTGGCCTGCTGCTAGGTGACCACTGGTATGCAGTGCCCATTGAGGATACTGGTGGTCTTCAAGTATTTTCTCAGATGTTAGGGATTAAAAATAGTACTTGTGATCAGCCAGGCATTGTGGTGAATGCTTGTAATATCAGCAACTTGGGAGGCTGAGGAAGTAGGATCTCAAGTTCAAAGCCAGCCTCAGCAACTTAGTGAGGCCCTAAGCAACTTAGTGAGATTCTGTCTCTAAATAAAATATATGAAAAGAGGGATGTGACTCAGTAGTTGAGTCCCCCTGGGTTCAATCCCTGGTACAAAAAAAAGAAAGTAAGAATAGTACTTATGATCACCATTTAAAATTACTAATATTTCTAACCTGACTTTGTCTGAAAAACAATATAAGTACTTATAATATTATATTATATCACATTGATATAATAATTGAGTATAAACTCAATTCTACTAACCCATATGTCTCTTTAATTCATTAAGCATTTTGTAGGTGCTTTGCAGGTACTTCATATATGATAAATATTATTTGATGTCTGGAGTATAATATTCTCTTTGAATCATTTTGTGTGTGTGTGTGTGTGTGTGATGCAATCTGATTCCAGGGAAATTCTACCTTATTATTAGATATCTTACTCTGTTTAATTTATAAATTAAGCTTTAACATAGTTCTTTCTGTTATGTATAGGAAAATTATAGTGTATATAGATGGGGTTTGTTACTATCTGAGGTTTCAGGCATCCACTGGGAGACTAAGAATGTGTCCACTTGAATAAGGCAGGGGGGCTGCTGCAATATAATTTATAGATAAAACCCCATGTTTTATCTCATTGTAAAGTTGAATTTTGGAGAGAGAAATTTCTAGTAATGGGGAGAGGCAAGTGAGAAGCCTGCAGATCCCAAGCATTTCCAGTGTGATTACAGTGGCCAAAGGGAACGGTTCTAGGACTCATGATGAGGACGTGAGTCCTTAGCAAGGATAACCACTGACACAGGAGGGATGGCCATTGCATAGAAACCGCATCGTCTCCCACTCTGGCCCAATGTGCGGTATCTGGGGCGCCTGAGAATGGTGGGCTCTGTTTGCTCTGAACATGTTTCCGTGATGTGCAGGCTGCAGGGACCCCGCCAGTGTATGTGGCTGTCACTGACACTTGGTCTGCTATGTGCCCTAGACAAATAAGAATTCACTTGGTTTCTGGGGACACTCTTCTTTCTGTGTGCTCCACTCACCCCCTTGTACAAAGGGGTGCCCACCCGTCCCTTGTGTGTGTCATGTGCCTGGGGCTCAGCTAAAGAGGGGGATGCCAACTGCACCTAGAAGGACTTATTTAAAATACAAAACCGAAATCCGTTTGTAAAACAGCAGTGAGCTGCCTGTCTCAAATCTGTCATTCTTCCTCCTGAGCTCCAACTTCTTAAAAAATAGGTCAATTTTTCTCAGAAGGTTAAGTGCCAGTATTTAAACTTGGTTCTCCGATGTCAATATTCCTCGCGACCACAGTGACATTTAAAACAGGAAGCCAGTGGGGACCCAGAGCAGAGTGCTGGTGGCCTCTTGGCCCGATCTTTGAAGACTCTTGTGTTGTCCTGTATGTGGCAGGAATCAAAGTCCTCCTGGTTAGCCTTTTATTCTGCTTGCCTTCTTCAGGTCAAACTTGAAGAAGAAAAAAACATCCCTTCTGGTCATTTGGGGGTGGTGGTGTGGAGACACAGAGGGGCGGAGGAAAGAATCTATAGAAAGGGCAGGCTGCAGGGACAGATGAAGTCCAGTGACGGCGGCAGGGCTCTGTCTTGTGGTCGCCCGTCCGTCCGGCAGAAGGCCGGGAGGAGGGCGGCATCAACAGAGGCATCTGGTCCCGCAGCATGGAGCGGCGGCCGTGCACCGTGGCAGATGCAGACTCAGCTGTGATTGGGCACGAGGCTTCGGTGTCCAAGCCCGGGTCACGCGCGGGGCCCATTTTAACTGTGACAGTGCAGTGTCAAACTGCCATTCTTCCTTTCCCGTGCATTTTTTTTTTCCTCTGAAATCTGCCAGCTCTTGCAAGCCGCTTAGACCAGGCCCCTCGGGTTCACAAGCCTGAGTGGGGGAGATCAGTGAGTGACATCCAGGGAGGGACGGATGCTGAGGAGGGGGAGCAGGAAAGCCAGCCGCAACCCGGCAAGACATGAAAAGAGGGGCTTTGGGGTTTGGCATTGTGGGCAGAATGAAGCTTGGGTGAGGCACAGGTACAGGGGTTTGCAAATGAGGCCGAAGGACATTTTCAGGCTTGGCTTGTGAGGTGCCAACAGGAACTCTGGGAAGACCTGAGGCTTCTTTAATAAAAGGGAAGGAAGAAAACCAGTGGCATCAAGCTTGGTAAAAATCACTTGTCATACAGAAGAAACCAAAAGAATAGGTGTGCCAGCATGAGTGGCCCTGCACACGTGACTTCTCTCTGCCAGCTCTCTGGGGGGCTGAAGCAGCCCTCACCCCGTGTCTGTCTACGGGGACGCTGGTGGAGCTGGTGCTGTGGATCAGCACATTGGAAGCAGTCCACAGGGCTACCCTCTCCCTGTCAGATGCTCCTCAGTTTTCCTTCTTTCTTCAACAGCCCCTGCCCTTTCCCCACTCTTCCTTCTTTCCTTCCCTCTTTCCTCTTTCTTTCTCTCTTTTCCTCTCTCTCTGCTTCTCTGCTTGCAGGATCATTCCAGGTTTTTCTTACTTTGTCTCTTTCCCCTCATCCAGCTGGGAGAGGCTGATAAATTGGACATGACTTAAAAAATCTCTAGCCCCCCAAATAAATAAATAAATACATACATAAATTTAAATTTTAAAAATCCCGGATCTGGTGGAGACACCAGACAAACCCCCTAGTGATGGGTCCTCCTGAGAGCCTTGGCCCCCAGAATCCCAGGGAAGTGCTATTGGGGTTGGGCTCACAGTGGGGGAAAATGCAAAAATAAAATACAAAAGCAAAATCAACCCCGTTACCCGTCACAGTTTGATTTCTAGTAAGTCCAGAAGGATTTCCTTACAGATGTGGTGCCTGAGCCCCTAATTCCTATTCTTTTTTCTTTTTAGTTTTTGTTCGTTTGTTCTGTTTAGTTATACATGACAGTAGACTGTGATTTCTTATATGATAGAATCTTCTTCCTTCCCCTCTTCCTCAGTCTCTCCTTGTAGTCCTCACATTCTGGGTCTTAAGTTGTTTCTGTTTTTCACTCGATACACATTTTTTTTTTAAAAAAAAATATCTATTAGTGGTAGATGAACACACAGTATCTTTTATTTATTTTTATGTGGTGCTGAGGATGGAACCCAGGGCCTCACACATGTGAGGCAAAGCACTTTACCACTGAGCTACAGCCTCCTGCCCCTAGAAATGCATTTTATACCTTGCCAAAGCCCCTTCCCTCACTTTGAGGTGTTTCCCTCCAGTGCCTTTCAATTCTGTGTGTGCAGGATGTGCTCCCTCTGGGTCATTTTGTGCTTGCCGGCTTCTCTCTCACCTTGTCTGTTTTTACTCAAACTCTTTGGAAACAGAGTGTGGATAAGACCCTTCTTGGACTCCCAACAGGAGAAGTTAAGCAGATGCACAGGCTCCCACGATGCGCGGATCAGCTGCCCACTTTCTACACCATTTGTTTTCGGCTGAGTTGGTCCCCACTGCAGTGAAGCCTTTGGCCTGCCCTGTTTATAAAGTGGCACGGGAGAGTGTACTAAATGGCCAACTTTCACACTGACGTCGGCCCAAGGTGCCTTTCCTCTCTAAACCTCTGGCCCCCTGATAAATAGTCACCCCGCTCCCCGGGCCGTCGCCGAGCCTGCACGTGCCGCTCAGGATCTGTTCTCAAGTTGTTGCGGGGATCTGCCGTATGATGACAATTAGGGGCAGTTAGTGTGCAGATGAGGCCCGCGAGTGGCAGGTGGCGGGAACGGCCTCAATTAACTAACAGGCACCAAATCCCTTCCTAATGAGGCTGGGCCACCCAGATGAGCCAGGAGCATGTGTCACTGACAGCAGCAGAGGATTTGTGCTGCAGAGGGGGAGAGGCTGGTCAACAGGTACCTGGAGCCGCCACCGAAGCAGCCCCTTCGGTTTCATGATTTCAGAAAGAGAAACGGGTGTAGCTGCAAAGGGCAACCGAGAGCAGAGCTGCAGGGCTCAGATCTGCACAGCATTTCATCTCTTTGGGTGGTTGCCCTCTGGTGGGTCGCCTTCTTCCTGTGTTTGGGTGAAGAGTTAGAAGGACTCCCAGGATAAGCAGTCAGTGGGGTATGGCCGCCAGCAGGCAAGGTAATGAATGTCAGAGACATACTAAAGGGCCGTTGTCATCTGTAGAATTTGAATTCCAAATCAGACACTGTAATAACACTGCAAGTGTCACGTTGGGCTCTGTAGTTAAGGGCCAGTGGCCATTTCCATTGCAAATCTTCTGGGGGGCTTTGTGTGGATTCATCATCTGAATTTATATGGATGGAAACTTGTCTGGCTTGGCGTGAGCTTTTAAGAATTAAAAAGAAAAGAAAAAAAGAACTTCAAAAAGTGCAGAGTGTGTTGGTGGGGTGATACCCACAGAAAAATTCTGTGCTTGTTGGTTCTTCCAATCTCCCTGTTCTAAACAGCTCTTTAGAAAAGTTTGAGACACACAGGAGCAAGATCCATTGCCCTGAGAGTGGATCTCCTGTGTTTCTCAAAGTTGAAACAAATCAGATCAGTGGCGGTGCATTCATTGTTCTGATGCGGAGCAAAGGGGAGGACTGGTAACGCATGTGCCCTGCGCTGAGCACAGCCTCTAATTACAAAGCCGTATTATAATTAATACATGGGTTGGAGGCAGCTTTGAAACTGGTTATTTGCAATTCTTCCCTCACCCCTCCCACCTCTTCATTTTTTTTCTTATAGCATAAAAATAATTTTTGAAAAGATGTCCAAGGCTTTAAAAGCAAGGCACAGGACTGAGGATGGGGCTGCCCCTTTGTCCACACATGTGACGGTGTTTGGGTAATATTACACACCGTATGTTTCAGGTGGCAGAGCTTAGAAACAATGGAGTAAACCAAGAACCCACCAGGGACCACTGCACAGTTCCCTCCTATTGTCATTTTCTGATCCAGAGAGTATTTAATTGAACGTTTTGTTCTTTCTCTAATTTTGTTATAACAACAAATGCTGGGAAAGGGGGAGTCTCCTTTTGGAAGGTGCAAGTGTGCCTGCCTCATCCACTCGCATTATCCTCACCTGCATGTAGCTCTGTGTCTGGGGAAAGGGAAACTCCTAAGTTCTGCAGCATGAGTTGGCCATCTGTTTTCTTGAGCATCCTGTCCTTAGGTCTTCTCCACCTCTTTCAGGGACAGCCCAGAAACACCAGTGACTCTAGCGTTGTAGGACTAGAAGATGGTAGACATTTCATTTTCTTTTTCTCTCCTTCCCTCCCTCCCTTTCTTCCTTCTTGCCTGCTTCTCTGCCCCCCACCCCAGACGTTCATTTCCCCCTTTTGGGAACAGCTTTAGATCAGTTGGTCTTCACTCTTCCAGCGCATCCTCCAAAGCAACATCAGAAATGAGTACTTTCACGCAGGCCCTTGGCACCTCCAACTCACACCACCTCCCACCTCTCCTTCGCGAGGGATGATCTGTGGGAGCCCACTTCATGGAAGAAGAGAGAAGCAAGACTCAGGTCCATGGCCAAAGCCTCCCAGAACACTTTCAGGTCATCATGTTTCCATTAGGGTTCCTCCAGCAGCAACTCTGAGACAAACATTCAAAGCAAATGGCCTTTTAGGAGATGATTCCAGGGAACACTGGAAAGGGAGTGGGGACACGAATGGAAAGGGGGGGGGGGAAAAGAAATAGGAACCAGAAAAAGTCAACTTAAAAATGGGTTATCAAGCCAGGCTGGGTAGCACACACCTGTAATCCCAGTGGCTCAGGAGCCTGAGGCCGGAGGATCACGAGTTCAAAGCCAGCCTCAGCAAAAGCAAGGTACTAAGCCACTCAGTGAGACCTTGTCTCTAAATAAAATACAAAATAGGGCTGGGGATGGGGCTCAGTGGTCAAGTGCCCCTGAGTTCAAAAAAGGTTATCAAGCCAGTCACCACTGTGAGAAATGAGCTGTTTCCTGGGTTGGCAGGGTTCAGCACGTTTCTGAATATGATACCCCAGGCTTAGGCAGAGAGATATCAAATCATAGCTGGTCTCTAAAAATAATTTGAAATCAATAAAAGAGTAAATCCACCTCATGTTTCATTGCCTGTCCTTGTGGATAGGACCAGTGATGTGGCCTGTGGGTTTCCTTTTATAGTGTCAGGTAACTTTCCATGTAAAAATGTATATAGTTACAATGATAGATGGCAGCACCAGAAGGAACTCCAAAAAATTGCTTGGTTCTGTATGTCTCTTATTTTCAGATAACAGTCTGGGGGCTCAAGCACCTACTGCATGTGGTGTATGTGGTTATCTAATCTTACGCCCACCATCTCCTGACAGATAGCACAGCAGAGGGTTTCCAGCCAGGTGCCTGAGACTTAGCTTCACCTTCTGCTCTCATTTTAGGCTCCATGTTGGCCCTCCTCTCTTACCTTCTCAACTGTGACTTCATTGGTCTGTAGTTCAACAATCAAGGATTTTGAATCTAAAAAAAAAAAAAAATCATTCTAGCCAGTGGTAAAATTTGACGACAGACAACAACTGGGGTGAAGTTTGAGCAGCTGATTCTCCACAGACAGCAATGGGAAGAGCCCTGAATTTTCGCATCTGACGGTTTCAGTGGTTCAAACATTACCACCATGGCTGGATTCGAGCCTCCAGCTGGATGTCATTAAACACGAAGTTGAGAAGAGATGTGAACAGCTGGCACAGGGAAGGCTGGCTCCACCGTACCTCTGCTATCTGTCCCCAAAGCCTCTAGAAACACAAGGCTCATGGAGCCTAGAATCTGAAATGCCTACCTAGTTGAGACCCCTTCTCCCAGCTCTAAACATCTAAAGCCCCAAAGCCACCACCCCATCCCAGTCTACTTCTCTGTAACCTTACCATCCCCAACCCCTCACCCCCTCTAGCACTTCTGGATGCAGACTCAGTCCTTTCAAAGTGTACACTTCCAACGTGTGTCGCTGCAGAGGGAGAAATGAGATGGGGGGATGGAGGGGACACTTATCTCCCTGTCAACATGTAGGACAGGTGGGTCTGCATGTCAGTTTGGTCTCTTTCAGCCTGTTTGGTGTCTGTCGAGGCTCCTAGAACACCCTCCAGATCATTCTACAAGTGTGTCCTGTTCTTTGGAGCAACACAGGTAAGATGCTCCCATTTGCTACTTACCTACACCAAGAGTCCCAGGGTGGCACAGGGCATCATGGTGAGACCAAGCTTGTTTATCTGGGTCTCTCTTCCTCTTTTGAGGAGGCTACCAATGCTATCACGAGGGCCTTACACTCATGACCTCATCTAATTCTAATTACCTCCTGTAGGCCCCACCTCCAAAGATCCCACCCCTTCCTCTTGCATGCTCCACCTCCCACCTCCATAGTTGCTTCACCATTTGATTTGGGGTGTGAGTTTGACACTTAGGGTGCCCTTGTGACTTTGGCCAATGGAACACTGGTGGACCTGAAGCAGTCAAAGACCTTGAAAATCAATCACATTCAGGATTGATTCAGCTGCTCTGTGTCTCTTCCAATATCATGAAAAGAGCACATCTGGCCAGCCTGTTGGTCCAGGAGCGTGAGAGACACGTGGAACAGAGCTGCCACATGGAACTGAGCCCAGCCACATCAGCCAACCCCAGCCGGCCCAACATGCAGATCTATGATAATACACAGTTGTTGGTTAAGACACTGAGGCTTTGGTTCATTACTGAGCAGTGGCAAACTAATACATCTTCCTTTCCACTATCCACCTGTACTAATTAGTGGTTGGTTCATCTTTGCAGAACTTTCAGGATTTTTTTCCTTTACTGTTTCTCCAAGAGTAGAAATATCACAGAATTTCAACTAATTTATCTCTAATTCACACTAAAAATGCATCCTATAAGTCATATTAGTCAATTTTCTCTAGTTGAGTTTACTAGCTTGGGAAAGAGGAATACAGAATTGTCACTATCCCAGGGATATATTATTGTTATCACTCTAGTGCTCTTTATATCATATCTTTATAGTGCCATTAATATGGTCCTAATGTGTTTAAACAATAAGGTTCCTTTCTTTGTGTCACCACAAACCACTCATATATTTGTATTTTACCCATGTTCCTAAAGGAAAGGGCATGGTTAAAAAGGATATTTATTAGTCTTGTGGGAGTTCATTAATCTGAAAATCATCAGCAAGAACAAAAATGTCAAACTTCACTTTATTACATCCAATAATATTAACTATTCTTTCTCCCCAAACATGAGCAGAATGAAATGAAGACTCTGTGTCACCTACAGGCACTCTTATCCTTTACCTCCCTAGTGAACTCAAGGTACAAAGTCCTTCCTCTCCACTGTGAGCCCCAGACGGAGCGATAGCATTTCCACATCTGATTGGAGCTTGGGTCACTTTTTTTGCAACTGCCACTTGTGTGTCTGCTGAGCAAACTGGACATAACATCTCAGCTCCCAAATGAGGAACCTCATCTTGGGGTCCAGAGAAGGGTGGGGTCTGGAGTGGTTCCATGAAATCCTGAGGCTGAAAGCAAAAGTGGTTTACATCATTTAGCTGAGAGCAAGTTCAACTAGCAAGGGGGATTCTCTGACCTACAGAAGGCTATTTTTCTGGAGCCTTCATAAACTTCAGCCCCATGAGTCCTCCGGGTGCTCTTTCCCAGTGAGAATGGCTAACGCTTGCTGTAGAATAACCCTTCCCATTTTCAGCCATTAATTTAGGTGCATTTCAGCAACTTCTGCTCCTGTTCCTAATATAAACAGACCATTAGCTATGGAAGCAACGCTCCCAGGGTGAAAAATGCCTGTCTTCTAAGTCTGGTATAACTAATCTCAGCCTTCTTCCTCACCCCTTCTCTCATTCCCAGGTGCTCTCCAAATTCCCCCTGTCACTCTCCGACTGTGTCTCAAATACTTTCCAAGGACCAGATTGAAGACCGAGAGACAGGTAGTTAATTTCAAAGCCCAGACACCAAACACCTTGCAATCACACAGAAGCCCAGGTGAGGATGTTGTGAGCCTGCCTGAGGATCCAGGGTTTCATGGGTGTGTGCTGGCTGGGAGGCCCAGCACCTCATCCATAAACATACTAAACTCTCTGCCATCACTTTCTTCCATGGGTGTGTTCATTCCCAGCACTGGGGACAGGTCCTATATTTCTGCTAATACTTATAAACATGGTGGGGACTTCCATGCTTTTTCTCATTTAGAAAGGAAATCGTGCTCTTATTTAGACTAACTTAAGGGACTGGATGTGCATTGATGGAATAGGATGCATACCAGAGACTGGGATTATCTGGGCAAATGAAAGATGCCAATCATTCCCTCCTCCCAAAAAGTCAGGGCATATCCCTCAGATCTCAGAACACAAGGTCCCACTGAGAAAAAGGTCAATGTGCTTCTCATTCTGAAACGTTCTCTGGTGCCTTTTGTGTGACATCCAAGAACCACTCACTGTTTCCATGTACATTCCCAGTTCTGCGAGGCTGTGACTATTAAATATGGCAACCACAGACCTATGTGGTATGGTGATGCCTCTGTACCACTCTTCAGAGTAATATTTTTAGAGGCATGAAATAAAATACTCATGAATTCAAAGGAAACCAATTGTATTGAAACATAGCAGTGAAAATATTTTTTTTAAAAAAAAGGTCTGTAATAATGATTACATATTTCTTGAAATTTTATGAAATGGCAAGATCTAGTGGTAAGTAGAACAGAAATAATTTTGAAATAATATGGGTGTGAACAGAATTCCAAGATGTCAGCAGCAAGACCCAGGCACTACAACTTCTCTCGTGGCTTGTCTCCTTAATTTGTAATTAAATTCAAAATTTCATTTAGAGGTTAGTAAAAATAAAGGTGTGATTTCCACCTTTCTAAATCCAGGGACCCTGATTTCTCATGCTTGCCACAGAGGGTAGCAATAATTGCAGGAAACAAAAGTTCTGATGGAGGAGTCACAAGAGCTGGGTTCAGGTCCCATCCCACCACTGGCTGGCTGTATGAGTCTGAAAGGTGACAACCTCGCTGGGTCTCAGTTGTCTGTTAGCAAATGGAGATGGTAATAGAGTTACTGGGAGGTACCCATGTGTGGCAGAACACGTGGCAAGCAGGAAAAGCACCATCTGAACATTCTTTGCTCTTAATTACAAAGGAGATTTTACACTTTGAGATTTGAGAAAGACTAAAATTTGAATTGATCCTTTTAAATGTGTTGCCCTTAAATTTTCTGCCAAAGAGGTTTGAGTTCATTACCAATACCTTTTTTTTTCCCCTTACCCTAAACCTATCATTTAGATACACAATGGATTCCAGGGAAGCCCACAGTCACCACAATTTTTAAAAAAAAACATCTGTGAGGGAGTTGTAGAATTCTTGGCACCAAAAAAGAGACGTTGCACTTAATTGCTGGTCTCAGGCAAGGTTTTGACAGACACAGTGCCTTCCTCAACACTGATGCTAGCCAAAAGTCACCCGTTCAACATGTTTTCTTAAACAGTGACTGATAAATTGTTATCTTCCAGCTTCTCCTGCTAATTAGACATCATGAGTCAAAGTTAATTTGGTGGAAAACATTTCTCAACTTAATGACATTTATGGGCAATTAGGCACGTTGTGGAAGGGCACACACATTTACATTTCAGCCTATTTCCAGGGTTTAACAAGAATCTCCTCTTTCCCAGTTGGAGACTTCTCATCCTCTGAGGAATATGTTCGATACAGACACCACGGGCCTCCTTGTTATCCTAGGAACCAGCAATTGTTTGCACCAAGCAAGCTACTGCACAGTAATGAGGTGTAGACGAAGATAAAATTAGGCTCAGTAAGGGCTTTTGTGTCATTTAGACCAGTTTCTCTGGACAAGAAGTCTGGAGCTTCGTGTGCAGAAAAAAATCTCAGCCAGAGACTCACATCAGTAATCAGTGTGCCCCAGACACATGCTTCTCGGTTGGAAATGACTTCTGTTTTCAATATCATCCCCTGTGTAAAACAGCTAATGGTCTAAAAGGCAGCATTCCTAACTTAGACGACTATATACCTTTGCAGCTGGGTAGTTTTTGTAGACCAGCAACGTACTCTCAGTGTGTCATTTTGTCATATTGAATTGACATAGCCTGTTTCAGGTGTCCATCGCATGGAAATCCTTTGAGGTCAGCTAAGAAACAGAGGCATAGGCAATTTGGGTGCTCCAGTCCTACCTAGCTCAGCCTCTCGGACAACATCCTGCTTGGCCCTCCTGCCTCAGCTAGCCCCCTATTCTGGCTAAACAATTCTTTACTCTCCCCTTGCTTCTTTCTTCTATCCAGGAATTGCTTTAACCAAACTCACTTGAACTTTCTAGCCCTTTTCCCTTTGGAAGGGGAGAATTGTACTTATGTGTATAAATACAGATGTATGTGCGGGGGCACGCACACACACACACTCTCTAAATAGTGTGATCTTCCCCTTCCTCCTCTGCTAGGATGATTTATGGGCACAAAGAGTTAAGAGTGAAGTGGAATGTCCCATTTCAGTAATTCCAAAGCAATATCGTAGCCTAAGGTCCTGAATCAGGACTTACCAAGAACCAAATCCCCAAGGCAGGAAGCAGCAGCAAAGGGTTCTCCAAAGGATGCCATGAAATCACAGTTTCGCAAAACCGGGACCATTAGACATGCTTGAATATCTTTGGATTTGTGAAATTCTCATATACCACTTAAATGTCTTAGAATTTTATTTTGACATGCGTATACATATACAAATTTTTTCCTACTATTTTTTAGTTGAAGGGTAGAAGAGAACTTTATATAACAACAAATAATGATGTATTTAGAGAATCAGCTCTATGATTTAAATGTTATGAATGGATGTTTCCTAAGACAAAAAAGAAGCTAGATTTTATAACAATTTGTTCTATGTAAATATTATCATAAATACGGCATATAAATATGTATTAAAGTAATGCATAAATGTTAAAAGAAGAGACAGGCACAAAATAAAATGATGGTCAGATTAAAGATCCACAAATCAGCACAATAACTGGGCACGCCTAATTGTAGTGGCTCAAGAGGCTGAGGAAGGAGAATCATGAGTTCAAAGCCTGCCTCAGCGACTTAGTGAGTTTTTTGTTTTTTTTTTTTTAAAGGGAATGTGGCTCAGTGGTTAAGTGCCCTGGGTTCAACCCCTGGTACCAAAAAAAAAAAAAATCAACAAAATAAATAACACTATTTACATAAAACTTTCCAGGGACTTTTACAGTATGATTTCCTGTTGTCCCAGCTGCAGCGATGATCCAGTGTACCCCAAACTAGTACCATGATAGGATCTGCCCATCTGAAAAGTCCACTCAGAAACCCTAAGGAAGGTTGAGGACTTCTTCTCAGAGACCTGGGGTCTGAGCGCTGGAGGGCAGCTGCAGGCTGGCAGCCAGGCTTTGAGGAGGGGGAGCGTCAATCCTAGCCTCAGCTGACCCTCAGAGCAACTGCATGAGGTTAAGGATGTAAACCAATGAAAATCAGATCTTGATTAGAGTCCTGGGTAGCTGCTTGGCTTTCACAAAAGTCACTCCAATGCCTTCAGCTTCCTCCTGTCTGCAAAATGGAGCAAATGGTATCTGCCTTGCAAAGTTGTTGTCATTACCAACCAGACCGTGTGTGCTGTAAGCTGGGGTGTGGTCTCTGTGGATGCCCTTGGAGCAGGTGGCCAAGGG